AAGTTACCATGAGGCCGTTGTAAACTCTCTGGATTAAGGTCTCTCTCTTTCTGATTATCTTCTCCGGCTGGAGTGGTTTTTCCTGGTCCCTATCGGAAAGGACTTGCCTTGCATATGAGGGCAAAAGGCTTCCGTGTGTCCTATTCTGCCACAACCGAAGCAAATGATGTGGAGACATTCATATTCCACTCGAAAAATTCTCAGACCCAGTTTATACTGAGAAATCATAGGTTTACTGAGGTCCCTCTCCACACAAACTCGAGCAAACTTCCCTCTCTCTGTAGTTGCTGTCTTGATGTCTACCTTAATTGGCTTGCCCAGTGCCATATAATTTCTTGGCTTCGGTCCAGACAGCGATGCTGGTTTATCCAGCATCTCGTGCTCCTCTTCCTCAGTACGTGTGATTGCAAGGTCCACAGGCATCTCGTCTTCAACAGAGACTATGTGAAACTCTTTGATTTTTTTCGTGCTTCGTTGGAGATGATCATCTTCCTCCGACGATCGGGGAGATGGCATCCTAGGATCCTCGTCCATTGGGAAGGAGAACAGGGTTAACGGGAAAGGGGCAAAACCAGGCTCCGGCTTCTTCTATCTCAAATCACTTTAAGAGAGAGAAAGTCAAGAGAGAAGTTAGAGCAAATTTAAGAGTATTCATACTTAGGAGCGTATTCAACAGTGAAATGGGTGGACCACCGACCATACCAGTCTATGAGATTATGAAACCAAAGCCGCTCCTCATCTGCTCAAACTAAACTAGCAATTGAGCTCTACTCCACAAACAATATCACATAGAGCATACATGTTAATTTTCACAAGTTTTTACTTTGGAAACCTTGGCTGAGAGAACAAGAAGCTCAAGACGATCTCAAACAACTTTTTAAACATTATACTTATAGGATCCGTGTAATCCACGGTCAAGTGTTTGTCAACTCAATATTAATGAAGTGAAAACTAACCAACTATCAACAAAGTTAAAAACCTGCTACATGTTCATTCATCAAAGTTAATAATTATTATAAACAATCCATATCGGCATCCATTAAGGTATAAATAACCCAAAGATTGGGTCTCAAGTACGCAAACTAGATTTAACCATACACAATAGCTCTCATGTCTTCTCTCTGACACTGACTGAGTTAAGCATTAGAAGAGATACGCTGAAGAATCCTTTTGTCCCCTTCCTAACCCTCTTTAGTGTTGCAGGAATTTCGGTGAAGGTGATCCAGGTTTCGTTATCTCGTTAGTTGATGACAATCACCTCTATGTAGAGGAGAGGATAAAGAATTATCAAAATGAAGCGAAAACAGGGGTATGTTCTCTCCATTCCATCATGGATTTGTGATATATATAGAGCTGATAATGAGTTCTTATTTTCCAAATATAATTTTTATTTTCCATGGTTTGCAACCGTAAGATCTATATGTGAGGTCGACATCTATAAATTGTAGACATCACTTAAAATGATTAATTATTATTCACACCTGAAAACACAATATTACGCGTAAAATTTTAACACATAACAATGGGACGCTTAAATAACATCAACCAACAATTGGTTTCATTTTTTTTTATTGGTGATTAGCTTGACTTTGAGTATCTACAACCAACAATTGGCTTTGAATGTCTACGACCTAAGAAATTTTTTTTATAGATTGGTTTTGAATATTATTATTTTTTTGTTCGATTGATTTCATTTATTTATTTTATTGGTAATTACCTTAACTTTGAAATTTTTATTTTTTTTGTTATTTTGGAGCAATTGATACGAGTAAATATTGAATGCAATGGTAACACCATATCATCATTAATGACATGATATTACTAACTTATAATAAAACCTAAAGTGAATAAGATGAACCCCACTCCGACTTACATAGAGGAAGAGTGAGGAGTGATTTGTTTACATGGTAAATTGGTTATTAATTTTTATGAGGTCTATTTGTTTATTTATTTTAATATTATTGGTAAGTGGTATCATATCACATTGTTATGTGGTATCAACGTTGTAATGAATATTTTTCCAATTGGTATCACTTGTTATTTTTTTATTGATAATTATCTTAGTTTTGAATTTTTTTTTATTGGTGATTAGTTTGACTTTGAATGTCTACAACCTAGGAAACTTTTTTTCAACATTTAAATATTTTCTCATTCTATAAAATCGTACAAATTTTTGAGTAAAGTAGTACAAAAAATAGCAATAACACATTTAACACATAACATTTAATAATAATAATAAAATTATGTCAAAGCTACAAAACTTGAGTAAAGAAGCACTGAAGATAATAATACACATTTAACACATAACATTTAACAATAATAAAATCGTGTCACAATATCCACAACTAAACCAACAAAAACATTAATTAAAAGAACAAATATTTAATGTCTAATTTGTAATATGAATTAAAAAGAAAAAATTCATTACTACTTACTTGGTAAAGTAGAAAATCCGTCGAGCAATAGATAATTTTGGTAATGTGCAGTTTTGAGTGAGAGAGAGTTATATAAGATATGAGAGAGTGTGCGTTTAAATTGTTTGTTAAATATAATCCTTATTGTTATTAGAGTTTTAATGGGTATTAGATATATTTTATTATTATTAAAAATATATAACCGTCGAAGAGAGAAATAATATCTTACTTCTGTTAAACAAAAAATCGCATTGTTCCGGTGAATCAGATTCTGTTTGATAATTATATAAGAGTCAATGACGACCTTAAATGGGTCCGACTTATCACTTAGATTACCAACTTAAATGATAATATTTTTGTTAATTTGTAAAATAAAAAATAAAAATAAGTAAAGGGTGAATAAGGAATTGAGACGAGAAGGGAGAAGGGACGGTCCGTCCATCGTGGGTTAAACGCTAGTCCTATTATAAGAAAGAAAAAGTGCGAAACAATGGAGGATAATGAAAAACGCCGGAACGGATCTAATATTGAAGAAGTAGAGGAAATTAGCAACGCCTACCCTTCATATGAATTTACTTCAAACAACTTTCCAAGTTTTCAGAGTTTCCACAAAAATGGGAGTCGCTGACACTACTACCGACATCTCCATTATCAATTGCATAATATATATTTAATTAAAATAAATTTTAAAAAGTACAAAACTTTAAAAATACAAGAATTTTATTAACATTAAAATTATTTCTCTCTCTCATATATATATATATATATATATATATATATATATATA